GGGAGAATTTCCATTTCACAAGGCGCTTTCAACTTCGCCACGCTTTGTTTTCATTCGGTTTCGGAATGAAAAAATACAAAAGCACCCGCACACTTTCTTCCGACGAGCTCAGCAACTCCAAAAACGCCAGAAACTAGAATTTTCTTTTGACACTTTAAAGAATCACTTTGCAATTTCAGTAGTTCATTTCAGCATTTTAGATTATTTTGAATTATTTCTACTACATTTCACGATGCTAAATGCAACGCTAAGCATCACACAGCACAGCTACAAGGATGTCATTACGTGACATAACATAATGATTGAAACATTTTACAATTTGATCCTATTTTAAAATCATTAAGGGTTGCTGCTTCTTCATTCTGATTGAAACATCTTGGGGTTTTTTCCTAGATCAAAGCGTGTCTTGTTCAAAATGTAAGGAAACAGTTTGACATTGTTCAAAAATGGCGTCAAAACCAGTTTTTACAACACAAACAGCAGAGACTTTCATCTCGGTGTCAAACCGCTTCATTACAACAACAAACACAAGGCACTTTTATCTAAAAACTAGGATGTTTTAGTTGACTTTAAGTAGCAGCTGCCCTTAATTATTTTAAAAACAAAAGGAAACATTGCAAGGATTAATCTGCTTCAGTGCCAGCGACATCTCATAGAAACGTATGAATAATAAAAACCTTCAAACACAGTCACATTCAAACAAAACTTTAAAACAGCGAAATTCTTTGCCATTTTTCTGCCAAGGGGACCGGCGCAAGGGAGGTCTCTGCTGCTACAGCACGCAGAGGGGATGCTGGCAGTGATGCCTGCGCGCTGCGAACCCTTTATCACCCATCACCAGTCCAGTATGTAATTGCAGACCAGGTCTGGCATAAAAATCAACAGCCCTGACCCGACTAGATGTTTTTTCCCTGGCAAACACAGCCGGGGGGATCGGGAAGGGCTTTTTGCTGGGGAAGGAAAGGAAAAGTTCGCTTCCATGCAATGCCATCCCTGATGTCCCCTCACTGCTGGGAAACGGAGGCGAGGGATGCTCTGCACAGCCAGGAATGAGTAACACCACCTAGACAGACCTTGACAGGCTTATATTTGATAAGAAATACTGGCAAAATCTGATTTAAGCCCAACTTGGCAAAGTGTGGTTAGGACAACTCTGCTCTCTACGACAGGCACCCTACTACTCTCCTATTTTCAGGGCAAAAGAGCCACAGGAGGGATTTCCTCTTGCCTGGCTTTCTGTCCAGAGGGGACACCGGTTCCGCAGGTTTGGGACCACCATATATTTTTTCACACAGTGCCTACAGCACCAAGGGAGGCGAATTGGTTGATGCTTTGAAACTGTAGGAAGTAAACAAATAGCAACAATAACTATATATATGACTTTGACTAAACAAAACAGTGTTTTGCAAACACACGTGTCTGCACGTACACATGGAGAGCGGATGCTGCACTCTGCCTCGGCTGCATCAGTGTCGGTTCAGAGAGACCCGGAGAGGACCGCTCCGAAACGGAGCGAGTTAAAAGCGCTGCCCGACCCGATTAATTCCCATTAGCAGCATGGGCTTGCGGGAACATGACTTTTTCCCACTGTTTGGGTGCATGCTTGCAGCAGCGGGGTCCCACCACCACGGTGGCAGGCGACCAGCAGCACCACTCGAGCTCGCCGCAGCGCCCGGCATGATGCTGGCGCTCCCCTGAGCCCTGCATCCACCGCGCATCCTTGGAAACCAAAGCCTTCCGCTCTTACAAGGCGGCACAAGAGGCCCTTGAGGCGCTATCGGCCGCTCCCCGAGCGGCTGAATATTCCCGAGGTGGGCTCTCGGTTGCAAAAAGGAGAGCACTCGTTTCCCCGCCAGCTATTGCCTTTGCCGCTGACATTTTGCTCGGTGCGTGATGAGCTTCCTCCCCCACTTCCCCTAGGAATGACACCGCTGTTATCTCCGCTGCATCTAAAGCACACACAGACTCAGTTTAGGGACAGTTAATTTCCAATTCTTTCCAGATGGGTTGGAATAATATCCCCAGGTGGTAAATACATTATTAAGAAGGCAGTTTGGTGTGAAATTGGCTATTAAAATATAGATAAAGTTTAATATATTGAGCTCCTTGTCAGAAAAATCACTTTAGAGGGAGCTTATTATTTGTTTGATATTAAAAGAGTCACAGCTCCGCTCCAAGTGACAAATGGGGAGGGAGAGGAAATGCCACTGGTAATGCACAAAAGCTTTTTAACATTTAAATTTAGGTTTCCACTCAACACTCCATGCTGTTCTGGGCATGCCCACCCAGTGGACCCCTCCGCCGCTCCTCCAACGCCAGCGGCCAGGGATGCCGACATCCTGCATCCATCCCGCAGCCCGGCCCCGATGCTGCCGGAGGAACACACTTCTTCCGCTTTTAGGGAACTTCAAAGCAAGCAGCATCCCCTCCTCGCTCCGTGGTTCCTTACCCTCTGGGACATTTCGGAGCAGAAATCAAAAAAGGTATAATTCAGAGGAAAAAACAACACAAAAAATCAACTTCATAACTTCCCCGGTGGTGTCACAAACCCCAAGGGGCAGCGTGGGATGCTCTAAGCGCACGCCGAGGGTGAGCCGCCCCTCTCGCTGGGGTTCTGCCCCGTTGCTACAGCTCCAAAAGTAAAAAGTTTTTAGAGCAAACCCAGCCTAAATGCTTTGGGATCTGCTTCACACATGCAGCATCCCCGCCTGGGTGGGATCCACAAAGGATCGGTGTGTAAAACGTCACCGGTCCAATACGGAATAATCAGAAGGCGAGAAACAAGCTGCGTCTTCCCGCTGCTCCGCGCGGGGCTCCAGTTAGGTCTCCTATTACGAAGACTTCATTAGTTTTACAAAATATACTACAGAACATTTACTAGCAGGCGATGAAGAATCATAAATAATTAAAATTAAATTACACTTGTCAAGGAAATGAACGAACCGCTCCTCCGCCATGCATTATCCTCCCGCACTTATTTATTTATTTTTTAAACTGCCTGCATATGAACTTAGTGGGTTTTTATAGACGAAGGTTAGAACAATATGCTCTTTGGACGAAAAAAAATACCACCGACCTGATTTTTACCCCACTTAGCTACAAAGCAGAAGAAATTACAATTCAAATCAATGGTGCCGTAGCGCACGTACCCACATTTGAAATCAACAGTGGTGTTAAAAGCATTATTAATCAGCATTATTATTATCTGGCAATTAGCAAACTTCAATAATTGGCACTTATTAGATCTTCCACTTGATGAGAATTTACTGTCAGAAGCCTTTGAGGGGAGGCACAATAACAGTGGAAAACATCTTAACTAATTAATTAAGCCTCCCAACAGCCCCAGAACCCTTATGAAAATAAATAAAAAATAAATAATAAAAAAAAAAAAGACAGTTTGGTACTGGCAGAGTTCATATTAAGGCCCCAATTAAGGGATTGCTCTGGGCTACCAGATGGCACCTCCGTGCCACCGCTCCATGCAGAAACTGGGCTCCGCACCTACATCCTTGGCCTTTTATTGTTACATGTTTATTCCTTTTTTTTTTTCCCTCCCGCTTGCCAGCACCTGCCAAAAGTCCCTTCCACAAGTGAACACCTCACCCTGGGGTGCAAGCATCTCTCCGGGGACTGCGGGAGCCGAGACACGCGATCGCCTTTTATCTCCCATTTCTGTTAGCTCTTCAGATTCTAATGGTTTTGATGTTTTATTAACGGTCCCGCTCTGTTCGAGGCAGCTGGAAGCCACCTGTCATTTGGGATTGACAGCAGAGGAGCGAGGAAGAGGAGCGGGAAGCGAGGAAGAGGAGCGGGCAGAGCTGCAGGCAGCGCTCTGCGAGCCCAGCTCCGCCACTAAACTGGGACCAGTGCCTCGGTTTCCCCCTTTGCCACGCGAATCACCCCGCTTTTCAAGCCTCGTTAGGATCTGTAATGGCATTGGAGGTTTCTGGGAGAAAAGGTGGGATAGGAGTACATGGTATTAATTAGTTAATTGATAGTTAGTTCCTTCAATAATTACAAAAACAAACAAAAACACCCCAAACCCAACACGGTTTACTTGGGAAGGTTTACACACATGGATTTACGTTCCCAGGGTTGCACACGCTGGCCCCGGCACTTCACTACACCACAAGTTGCTTTTATTTGGGGGTTCGGTTTTTTTTTTTGGCCTTTCCCCTATATAAAAAAAAATAAATAAATGGCCCAGCAAAGGTTGCAAGAATAACCTTAACAGCCTAAATAACCCCACTCTCCATCCCAGAGTTGGGGAAGGTAGCAAACGCGCAGCAGGTAGCCCGCTGCAGATCTGCAAGGGGAGAGCCAACCACACCACGTGCTGGCCCTTGGAGAGGAGAAGGGTTGTGTATGAGCAACAGCGATTAAATCTATTTAACCCCAGGGAGTGCCAAAACCCCTCAAAGACAGCCAGAGCCTGGCACCAGGGCTAGGACAAGCTGGTGGCGATGGCATACTGGGGTTCGCCATCCTTTTGAGCCCTGGTGGCCAAGAAGGCCAATGGTCTCCTGGGGGGCATTAAAAAGAGTGTGGCCAGCAGACTGACGGAGGTCATCCTCCCCCTCTGCTCTTCCCCAGGGAGGCCGCATCTGGAGCGCCGTGTCCAGTTCTGGGCTCCCCAGGTCAAGAAGGACAGGGAACTGCTGGAGAGGGTCCAGCAAAGGGCTACGGAGATGATGAGGGGACCGGAGCATCCCTCTGCTGAGGGAAGGCTGAGAGCCCCGGGGCTGTTCAGCCTGGAGAAGGGAAGGCTGAGAGGGGACCTCATCAATACTTATCAATATCTAAAGGGCAGGTGGCAAGAGGATGGGACCAGACTCATTCCAGTGGTGCCCAGTGACAGACAAGGGTCAACGGGCACAAACTGGAACACGGGAAATTCCCCCTCAACATGAGGAGAAACTTCTTTGCTGTGATGGTGGTAGAGCACTGGCACAGGCTGCCCAGAGAGGTGTGGAGTCTCCTTCACTGGACATACTCCAAACCTGCCTGGATGTGTGCCTGTCCAACCTGCTCGTGGTGACCCTGCTCTGGCAGGGGGGTTGCATCAGATGATCTCCAACCCCTGCCACTCTGATTCTGTGACCCTTCTCCATCCAAAGGATGCAGGAAGAGAGGAGACCCCGGTCTGCAACCCGGACCACCAGCCCATAAGCCTTTGGTAGCAGAAGAGCCATGTCTCATCTGCAGTCTCCTCCACGCCGCGCTGATTAGCCGAGCGCCAGCCCCAAGCTGCAGCTGCTCCTCCAAAGAAAACTCCCACCCCTCCGTGCAATCTCCTCCTCATTTCTCTTCCCTGTTTCTTCAGCAATTATCCGCCGAGCCCGGCTCCCAGCCCTCCCTCTCTGTCCGGCACCTCCACCCCCGGCTCCCCGCGCCAGAGAAGTTTGCAGCGAGTGCCTCGGCTAGTGGAGGAGGAGGATCAAGGTTGCTGATGCTCCTTTCAAAGGAGACCTGGAGAGGTTTGGAGGAGAGGCGGGGCTGCCTGCTGGCTTCCCCAGAACATCTTATTAGAGTCACTTTCACACATCACTTGAAAGCCGCCTGACAATGTCCTTTCTTTAACAAAGCAAATATTGTATAAATTAATAGCCCTTCAGGGAAAGGCAGAGGCAAGCGCTTCCCATCACAGCCCCAGTGGCCAACTTTCCGCAACCTTCTCTTGCAGCCGACCAAGAGCAAACTGGTGGCGGGCTGGGGAGGTGATGCGAGGACAAACCCTCCACCTTTGGCATGACACAAAAGCAGAGGTCCCTGGATGCTAGATGCACCCCAAAACCTCCAAGGAGGAGGCTGCAGAAAGCAAAACGAGCGTTGAATCCCGATTGCTCTCCACCGCTGCACACCTGAGGCAAGCCCAAGGATCTCTCTTTCATCGCCATCAATATTTCAGCGCGCACGTTTGTAATTTATGAAGGTAAAATGACACTTCTGCAAAAGCCATCACAGATGTGGCTCTCCTGCTTGCAAATTCGAGGGCTGTTCCCAGTTGCAGCAAGTCGCAGGTGCAGAGGGCCTGCGGAGAGGAGATAGGCTGTGGTCTTTGTTCAAAAAGACCACGCGACACCTGGATTTGAAAGGGATGGGAAGTGCTACCCAACCTGGCCGCCTCCACCTGCCACTCATCCCTGTTGTGTTTTGCCACTGGGATGCTCTGGTGAGGATGCCGGGCTGGGATGCCCGGCGGGCAAGCTGCTAAGCACAGCCAGGGTGGCTTGGTTTCTGCCCTTCCAGTCCAATTTGTGATAAGAAGAAGCTCACGCCTGGCTCTGCAAGGACTATCAGTGGTGGGGCCATTGACCACGCAGTGCCTTGGCTTTGCTGCACCAGCCCGGGAATCTGCACGCAGCCCAGCTCCCTCCTGCAGGACCCCTAAGAAACGTCCCCAGCTCCTTATCTCAAAGAGAAGAGGCTGGCAACCACTTTCTCCTGTGCCCAAACCACCACAGAAAGGCCTGAGAGCAGACAGAGTTCCCCTACAGCCCCTCCAACCCCTTTTTAACTGCATTAATCTCCCAGAGGTGCAGCCCCTGGGGGCCTCGCACAGTGCTCCTAACAATATTCACGGAGCTGGCGCTGCTTTCTCTCCCTTCCACTGCTGCCTATTCCCTTTTATCATGTTTAAAAGCCCTGAGCTCCCTCCTCCATCCATCCATCCATCCATCCCTGCTCCCTCTGTGCGTACCCTCACCAGAGCCCCGCAGTTGATTTAACCTCTCTTATCTCTACGATTAGCCCTGCTACGGAGCAGATAGTTGGCTCTTATCAGCCCATTAAAGAGCCAAAGAACGCTGTTACCAGTTTTTTATCTGCAAAACGCACACAAAGCCCCGCTGATTATTCTATTAATTTGTTAATGAACCTGTCTTGCCAGACAGACTCGCAGCGCCTTCGCAAAGTCGGGGTAGGGAATTTTAATCTTCCTAGGGGTTCAGGCCCTGGGCTCACAAGGTTTTTCAGCTCCAAAACTTCTGTAGGATCAGAAACAAAAAGTTCACCCCCATTAGCAGCTGCCAAACACATCTGCAAGCGTTTCAGAAACTGCTCCAGCACGGTACAGCTGCTAAATACAGATAGAGAGCAGCCCTGAAAACCTGTACCAGGGCACGGCTGCCCGCGTGGGTCCCTGGAGCGAGTAGCAGCAGGTCCACAGCTCTGCGGCCACACACTGCCGTGCTGAGCTGAACAAAGAGCGAGTAGTTTGAGATGCTGTTGGGTACCAGCACCTCAAGTCCTACGGGCCAGCTTCCAGGAGGTCCAAGCACCCAGAATAACTCAAAACTCTAAATTATCCAGTCAAGAGTGCCAGAGGGAGCCCGCTCTGCTCAGGGTACTGGAGCCACCCTGAGCTGGAGAACCTTCTACGAGTCCTGCTTCTAATGAAAGACAGAGCCGGGACCCAACAGCGCAGAGGGAGTGAAGACAAGGCAGCTGCCTTGGACCTGACAAGGCAGGTCTGTCTCCCTGCCAAGGTCGGCTAAAAATCCTCCGATTGACTCTGAAATAATGAGATATTAAAAATAATAAATTTGAGGTTGCATTCGCCGACCCTCTGAGCTGCTGAGATTTGCAAGTGCACGCTCTCCTGCCATGCAGGAGCCTTCCCACAGTACTGTAATGCCTCCCAATCTTTAATATATTTACTCTTGCAACACCCCTGCGCAGAAGCGGTATTACTGTGACTGCGGAGAGGCGCAGAGAGCCTGGGATGACACAGAAAGACAGCAGCAAAATGAGCGATTCAGCCCAAATCTTCTAAATCCCAGACTGGAGCTGTAACCACCAGCCTACTCTTCCTCTCTTATATTCACTCATGGCCAGAGCTGCTTCTAACTGGGAAAGGTATGGAGAAAAGACCAAAAGAACCAGAAAAGCATAGTGGACCTGTCAGGATTGCGTGCTGCGTTCCTGGCTTGCAGGATACATTTCTCTCCTTGGCCCACGTCTCTTTTCCT